TCATGTAGACCTTTGAAGACAATACTGCACTTGGCTGAGCACCCAGTTTTACGCCTTTTGATTGATATCGATTTAATTTTTATCACTTGTTGCTTATTTCTTGAATTTTTCTTAGTGTTTCCAGCGAATGATTGACGATACAAACGTTTTACACCAAGTTACCAAGATTTGCCGTATGATCATTAGAAAATTACAACGTTTGACAGGAAGATTAAGCTTCCAACAGCGGTGTTGCGGTTCGTTCTTGTCATTATCTGGATCATCATTTATTTCTTCTCTCTGTGAGATTGCTATCGGTTCTCGCGATCTAATAATTGAGGAATATCTTGGAGAACCGGACAGACACCCTCGGGTTTTAGTTGTCCCTGGGGAACTTATTCTGTTGAAATGAAACTCACTTTTGATGCAAATGTCCTCAGTGAGAAAAGCGGAAAAGTAATAATATACATAGACAGGCACCGATCCGATTTACGTAAACTCCAACTTAGTGTAATTAACATAAAAGGGTTATTAAAAAGGTTTAGAATTATGAAAAATTTACTTAACGCGCCTAGCTTACTGGCATGTTACTTAACAGCGGTATTCCATGGTCTCGCTTTATTTACTGTTTCAGACCAACGTGCTGCGTTTATGCACATACCATAAGAGTGTTTCATGTCTATGTGTGCTGTGGTGGGAGTACAGTGGAGAAAGCACCCATGCGTAAACGCGTGAAAATTGACATGGAGGTGAGAATGAAAATTATAAAGAAACGTGAAGGTGAACAAACTTTAACGAACAGCAATAGGAAGTGATCTCGGTCTCGCATCATCAGCAGTAAATACAACAGCTGGGAAGGATGTTGCCCCTGTATGGAGGCATGTGAAAGGATCTCTGCCTCTTTTGCCAGTGTTCTTAATTCCATAAGGAAGGGCAAATGGCCGAATTAAAAAACATTTTTTTTATTAATCTTGTAGTTTGTCGCCAATTTATGGTTGAGGGCGCCAACCAACACAGATTTTGCCGGTTAATTGCCAATACGTATGGATTAGCATAATCAAGGCATGCAAGATTTCAAGTGCTCATACTATTTATACTATATGCTTTGCATTAACAATTACATATTGAAATTTTTTATTTTATATGTGCAT